TATATATATATATATATATATTTTTTTTTTTTATTAGCCACATATGATGCCTCCTTTAACTAACTCTCATTTGCTCTGCTTACAAAGTGTTTTACAAACTAAGAATAAGACTCAGAGCAGTTTCAAGATGTGGCTCTCTGATAGCGCTGGGGAACTCCAGACTTCACACATTTGTTTTGAGTGTATACTCTAGCTGTTAAAGCATAGAGGTCATAACGGCTTGTGCATAATACCCACTAAATTCTGCACCATCTAAGAGGTGTCACTTTTGCTGACTTGCTTATCTACACTTGATGTTCTTGGCTCACTAGCAGTGTCCTTAGAAGACCAACAACACCAGTCCACCCTGCTGAAAAGACCAGCTTAGACCAGCATGCATTCGGGTAGTTGACAAAAAAGTTTCTTGTTAAAAATGGTTTATGCACATTTTAAGTTAAATATAAATGTAAACAAAACAAAATACGGGACAAACACTACCAGTCAAGTTTGGAATAATTGGAATAAGAATAATAATTTTTTTGTGTTTTTGAAAAAAGTCTCTTCTGCTCACCAAGGCTGCATTTATTTGGTAAAAGCAGTAATATTGTTTCAAAATAACAGTTTTTTTTGTTTTCAAAATGTACAAACACAGGAATAAATTGCATTTTAAAATATATTAAAAGAGAAAGTTATTATTTTAATTTGTTATAATATTTCACAATATAACTGTATTTTTGATTAAACAAATGCAAAAAAAATATTACCAATAGTGTACATTTTAGACATTTTTAGGTAAGTTTTTTTGCCATTTTAAATCAACACAGCCTTTTTGCAGTTTGCTTAATTAGTCCTGCAGTGTGACAAGTGAATTTATAAACATGCAAGCATTCTGTCTAGTCTCTCAAAACTGCATAATATAAAAAAGCATTTAAAAATCTATACAGCATGTCACACTCAAGACACTGTTGTCATTGCATGAACTTTGATGTCAACTTTCCATTTCAAAGCTAGTCAAGGGTGATTAATGTTGGTCTGAGTATAGCAAACATAGAAGGTGAAATTGGTCAACCAGCATAGTCTGTCTGGTGAAGCTGGTCAGCTGTGGTAATCTTGCTGGTTAAGCTATTTAGGAAGCCTATTGGGGATGCCAGCATCAACCAGACAGCATATGCTGGTCATGCTAGTGGTTTCAGCAGGGTGCTCTCTATTCTCTGAGATTCCCACCGTGTCTCTCTCTGTCCCTCTCTATTCCTGGGAGCTCAGGAGCACTGCTCTGCCATCTGGCTCTCTGCACCATGAGAAACGACTTCCTTCTCTCATTCACTCACTTCCATTCTCTCACACTTTTATACTATTGTGGTGGAGTATCTAACAGTGTCTGCTACATCCTGCATTAGCAATGGCTGGTGTATCTCTTCATTTTAAGTGGACAGTAAATCCATGAGATGTGCACTCTCGTTACACCGCTAATAATTGGATAATGCAGTCAGGGCCACAGAACTGCTTTGCCACCAACACTTTTTTTGTCTCGATTGGTTGATCGATGGGTGCAGCCCAGTAAAATGGACATTTTTCTGACTAAGTGGATTGGAAT